TACAGTGCGAAAGTGTTACCTTTTTAAGGTGTGACTTTATTTATATTTTTCTTGTTTCCCTATTTTTTTCAACCTATAGAAAAACTGAAATTTTTAATTGTTAAAAAACCGTTCATTAGCAAAAGCTTCTGTCCAGTACTCCAGATGTGAGCGTGTGTATGTCCAACTAGTCATTTTTTGTTTATTTAAAAAAAGAAACTGTTACATTTTGCAATTTCGCGTTTCTATGTTCTGGTCATTCATGGACCCATATTTCTACATAGTAAGTCAAATGACACATGTGTGGTTTCTAACATGCGGTGAAAAAATTAATCCTTTACTGGAAAATGTAGTTCTCTTGTACCAAACAACTGGAGAAGAGATATCTGCATGAGAGCGCTAAATAGCTAGCGCTACATCTCCATGCGTTACTCAATCTATACCTAATTGTTTTCTTTGAGAAAATCATTTCGACAAAACCTAGAATATGGATGAAGTGAGAATGTACATCTAGTCATTTTTGTTTTTTGAACAGTGTTACATTTTGCAATAACGAATTAATGTTCATGACATGCATAGAACCGCATATCTACATAGTTAGTCTAATGCTGCATGTGTGATTTTTAATATGAGGTGGAAATATTGATCCTTTACTGAAAAATGTAGTTCTCTTGTAACAGACAACTAGAGGAGGGACATCGGTATGAGAGTGCCGAATAGCGAGCGCTACAACTCCAAGAGTTACTCGATCCCTACCTAATTATTTTCTTTGAGAAAATCATTTCGACAAAACCTAGAATATGGGTGGAGTGAGAATGTACATCTACTCATTTTTGTTTTTTTGAACAGCGTTACATTTTGCAATAACGAATTAATATGGTCATGGCATTCATAGAACCACGTATCTACATTGTTAGTCAAATGACCGATGTGTGGTTTCTAATATGTGGTGGAAATATTGATCCTTTACTGAAAAATGTAGTTCTCTTGTAACAGACAACTAGAGAAGGGACATCGGTATGAGAGTGCCGAATAGCGAGCGCTACATCTCCAAGAGTTACTCGATCCCTACCTAATTATTTTCTTTGAGAAAATCATTTCGACAAAACCTAGAATATGGGTGGAGTGCGAATGTACATCTAGTCATTTTTATTTTTTGAACAGCGTTACATTTTGCACTAACGAATTAATATGGTCATGGCATTCATAGAACCACGTATCCTCATAGTTAGGGTAATGACAGATGTGCGGTTTCTAAAAAGCGCTGGCAATATTGATCCTTTACTGAAAAATGTTGTTCTCTTGTAACAGACAATTGGAGCAGAAACATAAGTATAAGAGTGGCAAATAATGCGCGATACATCTTGAGTAGAAATTCGGGATGTAGGAGGTTTTTTCTCGGAGAAAATGTTTCGTCTGAACCTACAGAACCGCTTCCTACACCTCGTGACAGAACAAGAAGCTTCTGTTTGTACTTTTCTGTAGAACCAACATTTCTAACTCCTGGGCTTGGTACTGTTTTCTAACTAAAAACTTAAATCACGAAATTTTTAGGTCGTTACAATTTTTTAAATACTACAAGGAGGTTTCTTCTCATTGGAAAAACTAGGGCAACGTCCGTCTTTGGTATTCATTTAACGAACAAAGTTTTACAAAGTGAGTCAGTTGGTTCCACTGTCTCCTCCCCTCTCAAGTTTTTAAACCTCGAACATGAATTGGATGTGTAACGTAGTGCGCTAATCAGCTGCAACGGTTCTTTTTTTTTTTTTTTAATTTTTCAATTTTATTTTTTGTGCAGTTATAATACAGCCGAGGAAAGTTGTGTTTTACCCTCAGCTCCTAGACTTTTACATTACGCGTTTCCTTATCAGGAACAGGACTCAAATTTTTCTTTAGCTATTCATGAGATCGTCCTTGCTAGAGTTCGTAAGGGAGTCATAGCAATCGCAAGATTAGCTCAGTTACACCCCCCAGAGAACTCCAAATTTTGTGTAGTCTTGAGAAAAAAAGACCCTTTTGACAACTTTTACAGGTACAATTTTATAACACTCTGTGTCATTTCATTATGGTAATATGTTTTGACGGCCAGCTCTCTTCTGAGAAGACGGAGCTGACTGCTCTGAGTCACTTTTGCACTCTCCTCCTATACATGTACTCTATGGTTTTGTTGTGTGCTATGTTTTCAGATATTTAAAAATGCCGGATCACGTTCCTTCGTGCCAAATTGTGATGCGTTGGCGAGAGCGGTGTTCCAGGGTCGTGATCGAGAATCCTGCCCACCTCTGCCAACGCATACCCGAAAATCGAGCTCCACTCTATTACCCTGAAGAGCCTGTGGTGCTCAGACCAGCCATTGACACCCCCCAGGAAGAAGCGGAGAGGGCGGAGAGATACGCCCGGTGGCCTATCTATGATCCCCCATGGGAGGTCACAAATTGGGAAGGCGATATTCGCCCTCTCGAGGGCTATGACGCTTGGGCAAGATTTTTATGCTCTGTGTTCAGGAAAATCCAGTTATAGCCTTAATAAAAAAAAAGTATCCAGTAGGCAATCGATATGTCGTTAAGCACACCTAACTAAGCGATTCTTTACCTAAGCTCCTTATACTGGAATTTTCGCAATAGGATCTTTCTCGCTTCCCTACTACCCGTAAACATTGTCTCTTCTCTTATTTCTTTCGGTTTAAACTGCTCCCTATTTTGAACAGTGGGTAAAAATTTTATGCGTTGTGTGATGTCAATAAATTTCCGTCCTGGTAAATATTTTATCGTTTGTTGAATCATACTTTGTCATTACACACACACACACACCCTCTCACACATAGATAAACGATTCTTTACCCCATCCACGCCTCTTCTACAAATATTTAGCTTTTCGAACATTCAAGCGCCCCCCCCCCATCACCCAGGCTTCGGTGTGGTTCTTTTAGAGCTCGTCAAAAATACAGGTGGTTCTTTATAGTTTTGTCAAATATCTTCTTGTTGAAGGTTGGAATCTCAAGTCTGCTAGAACCTATTATCCTCCTCCTGTTTCCTTAGGGTTCGTTAGATTGACGATTTTTCCCCATTGCTACTCTCGTTTTTAGGAAATTCCATACCAGAGGCGTGTTGAATGGTTGCCATGCTAAAAGCAATATTAGATATCGGTCTGAAAGCTAGCAAACTTTTCACGCGTCGTCGTAATAGATGTATTTTCCTTCTCCCGGCAAAAATTGTTACGGTTATCAAAACAAGTTACATATTCATCCTCGAGGTGTGTTTTAGTAGAATAAGAAACCTTTTTCTCGTGCTGAAAGTCACTAATTTCTTATTTTTAAATATTTCTTTTTGTTGCTTAGAGAAAAGAAAAGGTAGGACAGTATATTTTAAAATTGTAACTCCAAATTCAGAGGTGTTCGATTTCAGTGGCACACAACATGTCATTGGTTTCACTACTAAACCCTATTGTTGCAGTTTTTAAAAAAAAAAAAAATGAAGCGGTAAATTTCTTTTTCGCACTGAGCAAAAAATGAAACGAGGGGTACACACTATAAAACGGAGGGTTTTAGCTCCCCAACAAGGTACCTTCTTCTTGCATTTTTCAAATTAAAAACCTCGTCCTTTTTATCAGAGGATGGTCATCTTCACCGGTTAGTTTCAAACTCTTCGCCAATTTTTTCATGTTTCTGTTACATACCTAGTGCCTACTCAGAATTTCATTTTAAACTATGAGTGCGTTTTTTATTTATTTATTTTTTTTTTTTGTAGTATACAACAGTGCTAAGAAAGAACACCTTATGAACATTCAAGAATTGTTAAATTTCCTTTAATAACATCTTTGTTTTGTGGAACGTTATGGTTATATTGGCAACGCCTGAAGGTTCATGTGGTATTTTTTCGTTAGCACTGTAGTATAGTGCAGAAGTTTCTCAGTATTCTTCTGAGAATTTTGAACCCTTGTATGGTATATTACTCTCGAAGATGCCCTCTTTATGATTGTTGTTTGTACATGCAGGCAATGAACATACAGTTTTGAAGTAGAAGATTTTCGGTCGGAAAATTATTCTTTTTCTTTGTGTTCTTACAGTTGCAAGAGCAGGAAGAGGCCAGAGCCCGCTGGGAGGAGGAGTTTCCGCCCTACGAAGGCCTGGAAGATGAAATGTACAGCTCCGAGGATGAGGAGGAGGTGTACGAGTCTAACGAAGAGCAGGTTGAAGAGCCTCTTGTCCTCCCCTATCCCGACGAGGAGGAAGATCGGGATTTTTTCTTAGATGAGATGATATTTTAGTTATAGTACTGTTAAGTTTCTTAAATTTTTCTTTATTTTTGTAGTATTATTAAGTTTCTTTCGTTTTTTTCTTGTCTTAACGAGTTTTTTTAATAGATGATTTTAAAAACTTAACTTCCTTTTGTTTGATTTTTTTTTTTTGATGATTTTTCTGAGCTCTTTTTTTATTTATCATTCCTTCTACTTTCTCTTATAATTATTTTTCGTTTTCTATTTTGTTGTTAAATTTCTTCCTTTCGCTTTTTCTTTTTCTTGTTTAATTTTGTGTTTAATAATGTTTCTTTTTTTCACTTTTTCTTTTTCTGATTGTATTTATTTCTCTTTTCTTTTCCCATTCTGTTTTTTCTCTTCTCTTATTTTTCTCTCTTCTTTTTTTATTTTTAACTTTTCCGTTTTCCTTTATGATTTTTCCTTTCTGAGTTTTCTCTTTGCTTATTCGTCTCTTCGTTTGTTTTTTGTCTCTTCTTCTTTTTTTCATTTTTAACTTTTCTGTTTGCCTCGTTTCGAAGTTTTCATTTGTCCTGTGTAACATTTCCATAGTAAAAATTTTTCTCCTCCAGTGAGAGTTGTGCTTGTTGTCTGGGGGTTATTTGAAGGGGCCCCCGTTCATTGTTAGTTTATGTTGTTAAATTGAAATAGGTTGCAATTCTTCTTTGCATTGCATATAACCAATCTCACTGTCCCCCTATAAAGATAATTTTGTTGTTTGGTTGGAATACTTCTACAATGAGTATTCGTTTTTTAATATTTCTCAATTTAAGGGTTTAAACTTACAATTTATTGAAAGTCTATTTTCAAATTCAACATCAAATTCATCTATTTTCAAATGTAATATTTTCGTTGTTCTGGTGATCTTCGGCTTTCTTTTAATCGCACGGGGTGGCGGGCAGGGACATCCAACGTTTGGTGCAACATTTTCAGCCTCCTGTTGCTCAGACATCATTTAGTTTCGTGTAAAGCAATGAATGTTCCTTCTTTCGTATTCCATGGTACCTAAGGGAAAAGGGAGCAAGTTTGTATTGGTTCAAACTGGTGGTTTTTTTGTTAGCGGGTGACGCCTACTTTTCTTGCGCTGCATTAAAGTCTCTAAATGATTCTTGATTTTTTGCTGTGATTATGTTACGTTTTGAACCTGAGAGCACTAACTAGATATCGAGTTTTCATTAAACGCTCTTACAGATGGATGGTGGTAGTTGCAATAGGCATACAGTGTAATAGTAACATCTCAACTGAAGTACATTTTGCAATTTGGAGCTATAAATTCCTGCTCGGTTTAAAAACTACGTATGTGCCATTAGTCTCCCCATTCACATATGTGTTTTTCAGATGAGACAGAATTTATAGGTCCTTAGTGCAAAATGCAGTCCAACTATCGACAACTCACGAGTCTCTGGTGCCACTTATTTTCCTTCTCAGCCTACAAGTACCACACGTTTCAATCAATAGAATCTCTCTGTTATCCGCTCGTTCACTTTATCTTTCGTTTCATGTATCAATCAGCAGAGTTGCGAGGGTTTAAGAAATCTCCAATTTGCCAATGTAGATTTTATGAACAACATTCTCTCTGCTATCGTTTTATGAAGGAAAAATATTCGTCTTGACAGTACCCATAAACATCCAGTTCTTTAACGATTTCCCCCCTTACAACAGGTGATCATTCCTTATTAAGACCCTTTGCCTAACAGTACTGGCACTAATGTAATGAAATTTTAGCACCGTTCGGCACCGTTGTGTTGATTTGTGAGTATCAGGCCACCCTATGTAAATTCGAAGAAGTTCATCAATGCCTGTTTTAATATCAGAAGAACGGGGTCTCTGATTCTTCTGGTAGAATCCTCTTGTCTCACAAAAAGGTGGAATCCAGTCAATGAGTGGCTCACTTTTGTCTTGGCTCATTATGAGTGGGTGGCCTATCAATGAATGGCTCGCCTTTGTGTGAGGGCCCTTGTTACCTTTGCAGGCGGGAGTTCACATTGCTGGTCCGCGCCCGTCAAAGGGTCGTGTTCTCCAGACAGTCTGGCGCTATTTGTTTTAAACGATTTGGTCTAGTCTTTGAATAGCTGCAAATGAATTTCTCTCTTCCTCACTGTCTAGGAGCACTCAGCTCTCCCACGACGCAGGATGCGCATTGTTTTAATACATTCGAATTTGAGGATTCTTTACAGTAACATTTCTCTAAAAACATTACTCACTTAATACCGAATTTGAATAGCCCTTTTGTAAGAGTCCCGTATTCCTTTAGATTTCAGTGATGAATGCATGAATGACAGTTATCATTTGGACTACATTTTGCACTTAGGAACTATAACTTCCACGCCGGTTTAAAAAAAGTATTTGCTCTTAGTTTCCCTATGCAAACACGTGTTTTTTCCAAATGTGCCAGAATTTATAGCTCCCAATTGCGATATGCAGTCCAATTAAACCCCTTTTAGTTACGTGCCATATCACCTAGTTTTCTGTACAATGTACTATTTGTATAGTATTGGAAGAATTTTTTGCTGACCAAAGCAGACTAAAAATTGAACATTGTATAGGTCATCGAATTGGCGCCTCCCTCTCCTTCGGTGTTCTGTTTACGTGCATTTCCTAAGTTTCAAGATATTTTCATTGGTAAGTGTACACTTAGTTTTGCAAAAGCAAAAAATGCAAGATAGGAAAAAATGTTTAGAAATTACATTTTAAACCCTCTTCCCGTTTTTAATTTTGAAACCTTCAACTTGTAAGTGACCTTACACTACTCTTTAAACTCTTTTTTAAAAATTCAACAAGCATTATTTTTTGTAAAATTAGTTTTTTCACAAAATTAGATCGCTCTCAGTGGATCGCCCCATATTACAGCTCCAATTGGAGATTAGTAAACACTTTCTTATGATGGCAGTGACCTCGGCCTTCCGCTTATGTAGATTCAAATAATCGAATAACCCATTCAATAAATCAATAATCGATAGTATCGATAGATCGAAGAATCTCGTTTAAAAATGGTTTTGTACACAACAAGGGGGTAAGGTCAATGACAGCTCCACTTGGAGACTAGTAAACACTTTCTTATGATGGCAGTGACCTCGGCCTTCCTCTTATGCAGATTCAAATAATCGATAATCGATAGTATCGATAGCTCGAAGAATCTCGTTTAAAAATGGTTTTGTACACATCAAGGAGGTAAGGTCAATGACCTTCAGTTGCATTAACACAGTACTTACGGTTCACTGTCCAAACCACTTAGGTTTGATTGACAGGTCCCTTAACAAAACATCCTCCTGGGACCACCCACGGGGGACCACCCACGGCGGTATCCCTTTGTGTTAAGTTTGATTGACAGGTCTATTGTATGACACAAAGCGCGGGCCTTACTACTCCTTCCACTGATGTTGAACTTTTTCCGGAAGAACATCTCCTTGTACAGGAGCTTCTGCAGAGCCTCCTTCATCTCGAGGTTAGGGGTAGAAACCCCGATTATGAAATTTCCGGACACTCCTGTAGGGGTGAGGTAGCCGTTTTCTAGCAAGAATTGTACCATCAAGTCGTTGTCCGTTGGGCTGTATTTGTAGTACGGGGCAAATAGCCCCCGGAATTTAAGCGAGTTGAGTCGCATATACTTCTTGTTCAAAGCAGCGGGGAGCCCTGTGCTCAGGGCCCCTTCCAAAAATGCCCCGAAAAGGTCGTAGTCGAATAGTTCCCGTAGCTGTTCCATGACGGAAGGGGTCCTCCAATAGCGTTTGAATTTTCCAGTCTTGAAAAAAGTCATTACGGAACGAGTATTGAAATGTCTCTGCATGCTCCCTGTAAATTACCAGAATTTTGAATACGTCAGTGGACAACGAGACATATACAGTGGCGTGACTCATACATTTTTAGGGGTTGAAGATAATCTCGGAAGAGAAGGGATCCAAAAGTTTAAGCTCTGGCATTCTCAAAGTAACTCATTCGTGAGGTTGTTCGCAAAAACGTGTGCAGAGGAGTTTTAAATTAACATTTTTACACATTATACAACTTTTTATGAGGTCTTCGAACCCTAATCTTCCGAACCTGAGGGCACAGACACTGACACCCCTAACATAAGTTGGTTGTAGTACCACTCGGAGGAGAGAGAACCGAAAGGAGAAGTTGAGAATGAAGAAGAAGAAGGAGAAAATAAGGAAAATAGGAGGAAGAAGAAAAGGGGGGAAGAGAGTGAAAAGGTATAAAAGGAAAAAGATGAGGAGGAAGAAGAATTTCTTTTTCATCGTCTTTTCCTCACTCTTTTTCCTCATCTTTCTCTCTTTCTTCTTCTTCTTTTGCTTATCTTTTTCTTCTTTTTATTTTTATTTTTATTTTTTTCTTCTTCTTCTTTCCATTTCTTTTCCTCTTTTTTCCTCTTCTTTCTCTTCCTCTTGTTCTTCTTTCTCTTTCTCTTTTCATTCTCCTTCTTTCTCTTTCTCTTTCTCTTTCTCTTTCTCTTTCTTTTCTTTTTTCTTTTTCTTCTTATTTCTCTTCTTCTTTTTCTTCTTATTTCTATTTTTCTTTTCTTTTTCTTCTTCTTCGTACTCTTTCTCTTTCTCTCTCTCTCTCTCCCCCCCTCTCTCTCTTTTCTTTTTTTTTTGTTTAATCTTTACCTCCGACACATTCGGGTCTCCAAGACCAGAGTTTGGCAGAATAGGTGGGTTGATGAAGATTTCGAAAAGACCACCAACCTTGAGCACGATAGCCGCCGTACCAAAGCGCGAGTCTCTCCAAGTGGTGGAGCTGCCCTCGACTCATGGCGATGTCCCGGAGCTCGGTTTCGCTGAGGCCGAAGAACGGGGCGAGATCGGGTTCGTCGAGGGTGGAGGCGGCTGTGAGGTTGGCGTAGACGACGCTGCTCCCTATCCGCGTAACGCCCGTCGACAGGGAGTGACTCACGAACTCGTCACCCTCCAGCAGGGCCGTCAAGAAGCGGCCCACCACGTCCAGGATCCGCTTGTCCGTCGAGGTGCCCGGCATCCCAGGGTACGAGCAGCCCGGTTGGAGGCTCCGCGTTCCGGGCGCGTCGAACCCGTCGATAAGCACCACGCATTTCCGGTCGAAGTGCCAAGATAGGTACCTGGACATGGAGACACGAGCTGTAAAAAATGTCAGTCCTATCGGTAGATCCTATACTGAAAAAAAGAATGGCATGGTTCTTGGACATATCGACGGTGAAACCTCGAAACGCTTCTCGTCCTAACCTCTAAATCTCGTTTCCGGTGTTTAAAAACTCCAGTCCTATATGGGTTCTTCTAAGGGGAGAACATATCAACATCATTCCTTGGAGTTTCCTTGCAGATTGGTTCGGCACAGAGAAGGAAAATCATGGAATTGTTTAAAGAATTGACGCGGTGAGTAGTTTTGAACCTCGGTGAGTATAGTACCTCATGGAATGAGGTATGACAAGGGAGGACGTATTTCATCTGAACTAGTCTCCAAGAATATCATGTGAAAAATGGAGCTCTTTTTTTCCTCTTAACGTGTAAAATTTATTGGTGTCATGAAGTGAACGGTGTCCAAAAGTGAACAATTCCGAAAGTGCAAGCAAAAGTAAAAAATGCATATATAGCCTTACAGCGCAAACGGGGAGTGTTGAAACTCACTCCAAAAGCGCAATTCGCCTTAATTGGGAATTTATGCGAGGAACTTTAGGCCGGCTGAGAGAACTGTTCTTTATATATTTCGCATTTAAGCGTTGCGTCGAAAGTATTTTTCTAAATGGAGTAAAAATCCCACCAAAAGCCGACTCGTTAATTTAGATGAAAGGCAACTCTGCAAATCTTTCTCAAATACCTTTTTTACAATTTCGGGAACTGGCGACGTTGTAATATATTGAAACAAGCAAAGCATTATTCGGAAAATTGACAATTTAACATAAAAGTTAGTAATAATTACTTCGTCGGCGCGATGGGCAACGCTAGGTGTTACGCGGTACAGAAATAAGCAAAGCATCCCGAATTAGTATCACATGCAGCTCGAACACTAAGCGAATTTCATTATAACGCCTGGATGCAACTATTCGAGCTCTGCGGATGTCAGTTTTGCATACGCACGGATCTGAAGGCGTTTTGGTTCTCCACAGGCACTCTCCGCTTCACCCTCTGCGTAGCGCAACGCAACGGCGCGGTGGGTTGTACAGCGACGATCCGTATTGACCGAGTGTCTCCAATTCTACAATAGGTTTACACTATGGAGATATGTCGTAGGCACGAATAGTTGCTCCACAAGTATAATGCTCAGCACGGCTCTATATTAAAACTGAAACTGAAAATATTCTCTCATCCTACGCATGTGTGATATGTGTAACTATTTGTGCGTAGTGAGTGTCTTTGCAGTGAAAACGAAAAATGGATCAGTTGTGATGGTCTCATAATCGTGTTTTGATGCTCGATTATTGTAGATCCGCTAAAAATAACTAGATTCGTCCAAACAGCAACTTTTTACGTTCGATATTAATCGAAATATCGCCTTTGAAAAATTCGATTTATGTCGTCATCCACCGCGGTAGTGCCAAGTGCCACCCTTATTTTCTTCCACCTTGCTTCAATTTGTCAAGGAGACATTTGCCCTGGTAACTCAACGTAAAACAAGAATGAAAGGAGGGTGAAAAGAAAGCGCTTCCATGGTGGATGACGTCATAAACCGAATTTTTCAAGGCGCGATATCTCGGTCAATATTGAACGTAGAAAGTTGCTGTTTGGACGGATCTTATTATTTTCTGTGATCAGAGCAACTGGCCCATTAAAGGCGCTCTGTCAGTTAAACCCTAGTATACAAACCGCCGCCTAGCTGATTCCGACGGTGGATGTACTTCGATGGATACTTTTGGGGAAAAACGACAAAATTTAGATGCTTAAAAAAACTTGAGATCACGTGTGGAGGGTTTTGCGAAAAATTTCGAGAAAATTTTGAAATCTTTAATCCAATATGGGCACCATAAAAGGAATGAAACTCAGTGGAAGCTGACCTGGTCATCCTGCGACCCATGAGTACGAAATGCTCAGGATTAAAATTAGGCTGGAAGAGTAACTTAAAGCAGCTGTAGTACTCCTGAGGAGCCCTCGAGGCCAAGATTCTACTTCTAAGCAGATACTTGTATTTGAGGAGCATGCGGACGATCATATCCCGGAAGGTCCGACCGAACACCAAGTAGCTCGAATGGCAGGCTAGATGTTTCAGGTTCAAATAAAGAACGGGGTGTTGCGCAAAATGACGATCATAGAATTCTTCCTCCCGCCGAATCTTGACTCTCTCGAAAAAGGGTGCATTTTGAGTGGTGTTAGGTTGAATTATGGTCCCATTCCGGTCTGCCTAAAACAAATATATTTCACAATTTTGAAAAACAGCGCGCTTAGTTAGAGGGGCTCAACTAGAATCAACTTAATTTCATTCCGCGTAGCTCAATATTTTCTCAGGATTTATTTTTTAAACAGGAAACTAAACATCATAAAGCCTTGGCATTTTCCTCAGAATTAAAAGAGTAAACTCACATTGTTTTAGTATACAGGAACATGTTTAATTTTCTATTGAAAATACAACGCATATAATAGGTAATGAAGTAACTTAATGCAATTAGAGGAGTTCCGGTTTGATACGTTCAATCATCCTGCTCAGGATTCAAACCAAGGCTATCAAAAATAATAACGGGTGTCAACTCTTTATTGTTACATTTGGGATATTTATGATCAGTTTTTGACAGAAAAAATGATTGAATTTTGCAAAATGCCGCTCTCAATGGCTTTGCAAGGTATGGGAGTGCCTTTCCTGCGCCTCGATTATTGAATCGTTATCGAATGACTTTGATCAATTTATAGCATTGTTAAGATAGGGAAATATCGATTAAGGTCGTTCGATAACCATTCAACAATCAAACCGCAGACCTCCTCGGTAGCACTTAGGTTTCTCTCAACTTACTTTAGGTGAAATATTGTGAAATTTAAACTATTTAATCGCGAGAAAGCAATCGTCAATCATGTTCAGATGCGATTGGATTTGTCATTGCTTGATCAATTTTAGAGCTACGTTAAATCACAGTTGCCTTAAAATTAGGTACTAAGACTTTAAAAAAAAGACACGCACAATAAAGGAATGAGACAATTATTTGTGAAAACATTTGGAGGCGTAAATATACCAACCTGGAGATCGAGGAAAAGTTGAAGCATAGAGAGGATAGTTGACTTGCCAAAACCTTGCGGGGCGAGTACCATCAAATGTTTTGGCTCCCTCATGAAATATTTAATGAACATAGTTTTGTCCGTAAAATAAGGAGAGTAGACTATTTCAGAGAAGTTACTCTCCATAACACGAATCAACTGCTGTTTAGTTGTCTGGAAACATTAAAGCGAACAGCAAAGATTTAATATCTTTTTTTAGCCGATCAAAAAAAAAAAAAAAAAAAAAAAAACGCCGTGACTTTAACGAAATACCGTGCAATATTAACAGCTGTGGAAATAATAATTTATGTAAGCAACAAAATTGATGAGACTGCTGCAAGGAACTATTACCTATAGCTTTCAAGCCGCTCACTTTGTCTAATCAGGGTATTGAAGGCAAACTGGCTAGCATGAGCGCGACATTTTGTGATTCGAGTAACACTAATGCGCTGGCGTTATTAAAAAATGACCTCAACCTGGCCAAACTGCTGCAAGTAACTACACCTGCTCCAAAGCAGCTTATCTTGCCAAAGCAGAATATTGAAGGTGAACTGGTCAGAGCGAGTGCGAGACATTACCTTATGTATATTTAAAGTGATAAAAACCCGTTTTTGCAGTTATTAAATGAATGAACATTGCTAGACTGCTGCAAGCGACTGTTGCTGCTCCCAAGCATACTACATACATTGCCTAAGCAGAATATTGAAGGCAAACTGGTCGAGGCGAGTGCGAACATCGCAAGTAAAATGATTAAACTCGTTCTTGCCGTGTGATTAAACCAAATTAATGAAGCCAAATCGCCGCAAGCAACTTTTGTTTCTGTGAAGTCGCCTAAATTGCCTGATCAGGCTTTAGATGCGCTTTAAAACGCGCTTAGAAAAGAGTTGTGGATGGAGTCGTCAAATTTTGGAGTTTAGAATATTCGGCAAAAATTGGCGATCGCCGCGCCAGCTCTTACCGGATGCTTCATTTGTCAAAGTTGAAGAAGCTGCGTCTTTTCATTGACAGTGTATTCTCAATGCCGGGTTTCCCGATCTGAGATTATAGAAGTTTTCGGCCGTGCATTTATTGAAAATAGGTTTGTAATTCTTCATGAATGTCTGGATTATTTCCACTTTCACGGATTCGGTCTAGATCATGATTACCTGATTATTAATTAGTCTACTCAGGCTTACAGTACCTCTCTTTAAAGACGTTTAAGAGGGGGAAATTCAGCCGAAAATGGAATTGAACCTGGCTTCGGCCGGAGATGCTTCCTATTCTCTGATTTTTTATAAAATCGAAATTGCGTTTACGAAAGAAGACAAGCTCAGAACTTACATCAAACACAGCAGCTAGGACACAGAAGAAAGTGAATCGGCCCATCGTTGACGATTTCATCCCACGATGTCAGCTCATTGGTTATTAATTTGGAGCGCGAAATAAAGAAAAGCAATAATGAATCAGAGAGCTTTCATCGAAACCGCACGACGTATTTTACAAAATATAGAATGTACGCACTTAAAACAGAAAAGGAAAACTACGACGTGCCGCACATGGGACATGGGTCTCGATGGAAGGATCCAAAATGACGGGTCGTCAGAGCTTATATACTCGAGTTGATAACATCAAAATAAATCTTCAGAGCAGTTGTATAATCGCAGTATCAAAGAGATAATCAATACTTAATGCTCATTGCACACTGGTGATATGAAAAAACCAAACCGAATACGAGTCCAAAATTGAATTTTGGTTGAGCGAGACTACATTAAGTTAGTGCGACTAAAACATAGAATGAAACTAAGGAAATTCGGGGTGGATAATACCAATACCCTAGGGTGTTCCGTTTTCAGACAACCATCTCAAAACCTTGCTCCCCGGGCTTTTTCCCATTCCTTTTGGTCCCCAAAAGATAATTCTGAAGTTTCAGCACCATAGCTGAAGTCTACACTTTCCCCCAAAGCGATGCAAATTTTGGAAGAAATTACATTGGTTTAAATGGGGAGAAAATAGGCAAATTCCCGGAACTACGTTTTTCGGTTGTAAAATGCGCCGAAATGATTTCAGACCTGACCATCTCTTGGAAAGTGATCCAGAGGGCTATTTTGAACGAGAAAATTCCACTTTTGACCCAAAGAGGGGGGAGGAGGGGTCAGGGCGCAGTTAGTTTTGAGGCGCTGCGCGCAGCAAAATGCTCCCATTTGACAGTTTTTGATCAACCTCAGGACAGGTCCTCCGAAGCTGAGGAGGCTAATGTATCTCATAAATTGTAATAAAATAATGTAAAAGAGTTGTTTTCATCCCTTCAGAACTATTTTCGACCATTTACACTGTTGCCAAAATCACTCAAGTGAAGAAGATGATATACACTAATTCCCTTCCAGGTTCGAGTAAATTTGGCAACAGTGTAAATGGTCGAAAATAGTTCTGAAGGGATGATAACAACTCTTTTACATTATTTTATTACAATTTATGAGATACATTAGCCTCCTCAGCTTCGGAGGACCTGTTCTGAGGTTGATCAAAAACTGTCAAATGGGAGCATTTTGCTGCGCGCAGCGCCTCAAAACTAACTGCGCCCTGACCCCCCCTCCCCCCTCTTTGGGTCAAAAGTGGAATTTTCTCGTTCAAAATAGCCCTCTGGATCACTTTCCAAGAGATGGTCAGGTCTGAAATCATTTCGGCGCATTTTACAACCGAAAAACGTAGTTCCGGGAATTTGCCTATTTTCTCCCCATTTAAACCAATGTAATTTCTTCCAAAATTTGCATCGCTTTGGGGGAAAGTGTAGACTTCAGCTATGGTGCTGAAACTTCAGAATTATCTTTTGGGGACCAAAAGGAATGGGAAAAAGCCCGGGGAGCAAGGTTTTGAGATGGTTGTCTGAAAACGGAACACCCTACCAATACCCGTTCGGAAATTGAGGTCTACATTTAAGAACGGGTATTTTTAAGTTTTAGGATTTTGGACCCCTGAGTATTATAGCAGACTTTTTAAAAATAGAAATTCGACTGCGAAAAATTTCTTTTGAATTAATTGATATTGTATTCAGGAATGAGGCAAACAAATTTAAATTTTTTTACAGTAATTTAATTGCCCTTAATAGCTTACAAAAATCTCTATTTTTTCATGTGTGAACCGACTGCGACTCTTTAGCGAATGAAATATGGTCACATAATCTCAGCAGGTGCATTTTTTTTTTATTATTATTTGCACAATAGAAATTTTGTAGAATAAGCACTTTTAGACTTCATATAAGTCTTTTAAAAGCTTGTCTTAATGGTCTCCTGATGGTCTTTTAAAAGCTTGTCTTAATGATATGCTCGAGGGATTGAACAAAGATGATGTGGTGCGCGAACTTATCTCGAACCAAACCATTTTTTCCCATGGAGGTATTTGCACTTCCTTATAATTGCTCTCATGCGAGGCCCTCGGCCTCGACACTTTCAATATAAGACCCCGACAGTGCCAACCTCTCAGTTTGAATCCCAAATCAATGAAGAACACGGTTTTGCATTTCGATGGTGAAAATCGAGAAACGCGTATCCCGATTGCTATTTTGGCAAATGTCCAGCTATTTTTCTATCACTATAAGTGAAGATAAAGAACGACTGAGAGGCAATGCTTGAACTTTGCACAGGATTCCCTGCGTAGGATGAAGAAAAACAGATAATGGCCTTGTCCACACGAACGCGGTTCGCGGAACTCAGTTCGAGAAACTTGTTCCCGGAACAAGTTTTTTGCTGAGCTGAAACTTATTCCTCGAAAACCTGGAATTTCCCCCGTGCTCCGAGCTTCTAAATATGTTTCTTTTGATGTGAATTTGCTTGTTTTTGTTTTTCACGTCCTTTACGTATGATCTTGACATTTATTTTTGTTACTTTGGCGGTCATAATAATCTATTATTTTGCAATAATTGTATAGTTTTATTGAAGTTCCGGTTCCAGTTCGGACGAACCCGTGTGGACAGCATGCCTCGTTTCAAGGAACAAGTTCCGGGAACTGAGCAAGTTCGAGGAATAAGTTCCGCGAACTGCGCTCGTGTGGACAAGGCCCAAAGAAATGCAAAGAAGTCATGAGTTTCCTTTTGAATGCATACAATATCGTCGTTTTCCCCACGAAGAAACGTAACTACATTGCAGCGTTGCCAGACTCCTTTTTACTTTTGTTATATTTAGTCGCAAACTGACTTAAGCAGGTTTATTTCAATACATTTCAAGAAGAGGAGCCTCTTCAGATAACAGATATGCAACACACACTACGAGCTGATGCAGGAGACGTCATTCCACCATTTAATCGCAATGTATATTGCAACGTATGCCAATTAGATCATGAGAGTTTTTTCTGATGACAGGTACACTACGTACACGACAATATCAGCTGCACAGTTGGCTTCGGAAACGAGATTCCGGGAGCGGCCATGAATGAAAAACCGTGTGTTGGATGGTCAAGTCCAAGCCCATTCGGCATGTACACTCTAGTGTGCGTAGGTAAAATATAGTTCTCTCACTATTTATTCTCAAATGGCATGACAAGCTCTCGGTGCGACGACTGATTGAACAACACGTTTTTTATCCCCTTTATGCCTTTACGCCTCTTTGCGGCGTCATGTGCTTTGCGATAAATCGATATTGATCTGCCATTTAAACCTATGGAAAAGGATCGATAAACAGGGCTTTCGCAACGAACACCTTAATAATCGATCTTTACTATGGCTTCAAATGGGGAATATCGATTGTCGATCACTCACGCTTCGACGCCACTGATAATCCCTTTTCTTACTGAATTGTCTCAAAACCGAGTTGGTCTTGTAATGTTGGATCTGCTCGTGGCATTCCGTCAATCATTGACGAAACCATCTAAACTCTGAAGATAAGTTATTGGCACGCGATAATTATTGATAGTATTGATTTGATTTTTATGTTTTTCGATCTCTCAGGTCCCGATATGCCAACATTGCTCAAAGCACCAAAATATCGTAGTTTCTTGCATTGGCACGTAGGAAACATTCGAAACGATAATAATACGGTTGGGGGTGAAACCAGAGTGGAATACGTTGGTATTGTCAAACCTAATTATGGACCTGGTAAGCTACGCTCGTCTTCAGAGTCAAATTATAGTCATATATTATTGAAACGATTGGCTTTTTAATTTATTATACATTAATTAATTTTTGATTTTGCTGAATTTTGATGTGACATTTAGGGGGTGCAAAGTGAAGGCAATGTCTCAATTTTATCTGAGTTCCTCTATATAACGGTTGATGACATTTTTTGCTTCAGATAAAGAAGAAACAAAATATCTCGTAAAGTAAATATATTTTAAAATGATTTGTTTTTATTCTCAAATCGGAGAAAAATTGTAAAGCAAACGTTTTATTGAATAAATTGCAAGCAAAATGGTGGCAATGGGCAAGGAAATCTGAAAATATTTGTTTCTTGAGATTCCTAAATGATTCTAATTTCTCTGTCCAAGCAGGAAAACATCGCATAGTTTTCATATTGTACAGGCAAAATCAAGATGCGGAATTGTATTACGTAACGGACGTCATGACAGAAGAGTGAGTAAGCTTTTTATGATTTCACATAAGTGATAAACAGGCTCCAAATTTGGTAAAAAAAAATTGTTTTTGTTTCACCTTTTTTTTCAATCATTGACTTTCAAACGCATCGCATTCAACTAAAAGGGACCAACGCGATTAGAATGTTGTAAAATGTTGCTTCCTCGTTATTTTCTAAAAAATCTTCTGGAATAGGAAATTTATTTTTTGCCTCCCTTCAAAAAATTGTCAATTTTAAAATAAAATAATTGTGTAAATTTTAAGACTGTAGTACTGTTCATATATTAAGTTTTTTTCAAAAGAAAAGAGGAAGTTGCAAAATTTTAAAAAGACTGTATAAATGTTAAATGCGATCCAAATGTCAGTAGAGGTCAAGTATACCTGCAAGGTATCTCGAATCAAAACACGGCCTCTTCCCTGATCCCTTTGAAAAAGCAGCGAATCTATCGCCAGAAAACATTCAATTGTTACGAATATTCAGTGAGCTAGCAAGCGAAAACTTCTCACAAATTGTTTACAAATACATACATACCGCATTTCATATTCGAGCTGATGAGTCTCCAACTTTTTGATTGGCCCTGAGAATACCCCTTGCGTTCACATTCTGAGCTTCAGCATGTTTGAACGCGCAATACATTTATGTTTATTTCCTTCCTTCTAGTGGCGACATGGATGAACGAGAATTTTTTGAACCGAGAGTGATGACAAAAGAGAATCACATGGGTAAACCGATTGGAGTCAATTATTTCTGGGTCACAACTGCCGACTAAGAGGATGATTCAAGCATGACCATGATCTGGATCATAAGAGCGTACGCAGAGAGGAAGAATAAGACAGGTATGGCTCCTCTGATATTTTGTGAAAAAAAATTAAATCAAGACAGGTTTTACTTTCAAATCTACGCTGTTTAGTAAATAGGACTGCACCACAGAAAAAATCAACAGTAGCATAGTACCTCATGCATTATTAGTTGATGGCTGTAATGGAGATGTTGCATGTGTGAGGAATTTGCAATTTGACTGTTGATTCTTGTATAAAAGTTCGCGAGAAACACAATGGTGCCACTGGTTTTCTCTGAAATCATCTCCCAAGCTCAAGAAAAGCTCTCAAAGTGAGGCCAAAATGGAGGGGATATCCCACCCTACCCTGAGAGTCCACCTCTACATCAAAACAATCTCTCCGGGCAGAGATAGGGAGCATATACATTGACAGGGCTGCCACTTTATTTGGGGACTCCACAACTGAAAACACGGCAACCCTGCTGATGTATTTGCTCCCTATCGTTGCATGGAGAGTTTGTTTTAATGTAGAGGTGGACTCTCGGGGCAGGGTGGGATATCCCCTCCATTTTGGCCTCACTTTGAGAGCTTTTTTTGAGCTTGGAAGTTGATTTCAGAAAAAAACCAGTGGCACCATCGTGTTTCTCGCGGACTTTTACATAAGAATCAATGGTCAAATCGCAAATCCCTCACACATGCAACATTTCCATTAAAGAGTGGAAATTCAAAACGTGGTGAGCGTCATCAGGTGTCGCTGAGTTTCCTCCGATGCACAGTAGAACGATTCTTTGGAATAAATTGGACATGATAAATTTGGCAAAAATTGTAAAATTATACGTTTATCTCGTCATAATTTTAATTTTAAGGGGTGCTCAATTTTGAACTTTTTACGAGGAAACCATTGAAACTACGTTTAAAACATCAACATTTCATATTCTCGAAGATATAAGCTTTTAAAGTTCTTAAATCATGTCCGACCTCTCCTACTGACTCAATATATTGTGCGACGTAGATATCCCTTGAAAAAAATTCGTCAATAGCCTGCCTTCTCGACTTCTCTCAATAAGCTACACGCGCGAGAAAAATAAATGGTTATCACGAGGAAAATTGTCTTTGACATAACTGATAACCCGTGATTAAGTTTCATCACCTACCAAGACATTTTTTCGTTAAAACAACCATTTCTTGTCGTGATAGGCGAGGAAAAAATATCTCGATCAAGAACTTTTTCCCTTCTTCTTAGATAAAAAAATTATCACGATGGCACTGATGTCAGTGATGATGTTCAAATTTTTGAAAGGTTATATCTAGTCTTATTGAGAAACTAGGGGGCCTACCCCCTGACCGCTACACGGCCCAACCCCCGGGAGGGCGCCTCGCGCCCTCAGGCCCGCTTCGCGGGCCCTATACGCATAATTATGTATAGGCAAAAATGTTCTTCCATTTTATTACACCATTTTGTGTTCGAGCTGCATCGATTTCAATATTTTTGACGTAACACTCAGATTTGTAAATGATGAGGAATAGCTGGATGTACATAATTCCACAGTCCACTTACTGAAGAAATTTCCATTTATTATGTCATTTTCAAATACTTAATTTAAAAAAAAGAAAATCGGATTTCGACCGTTAAGAGTTAATAATATTTGGTCCGTCCCGACGCGACGCAGCGCCTACCTTCTCAATTTGTATCTGCTGTTTATCTGCTGTAAATATTAATAGAAATTCAGCAATCAAGTAAATTGACCAATGCCACAAATCGAAGCCGGAAGAATGCAGGAAAAATTGAGTTAAACCTTATACTTTGGACCTGGAACCTTGAACCCTGAACCCTGAGCGATGCACCGTTCCTCAACTCTTCGAATGAGGAGCCCTTCACGAGCTTTTCCATTGTTTTATTGTTTATTCGAGTCACTCAGGTAGAATCCCACACCTTTACGTTTCTAGCGGAAACGACATATCTCTCACGCTGTTAACATTGGACTTAAGTGACATGAGCTTTAAAAGCTCTACAACATTAAAAGTTCGGGGTTTCATGATTTTTTGCACATCTACATCTACTACGGATGACATACATGTAAATATCATCCTAATCGGTCCGGCAGTTCGTCAGAAATAGTGCTTCCAAGATTTTGCTTGTAGCTGTATAATATAGATATTTCAAAGCATTTTAGGCCAACCACGGGTGAGATTTAAATGCAAAAGCTGAATGACTTTGCACAAACGAAGAAACTTCATGCTGAGCAGTTTTAATGAAATATGTAGAAACTTTTACCAGCAAGTCATGCACAACTTTATCATGATTATATGTTGGAATTTGAAGGCATGTAATTAAGAAAACTATTAAACTCTCTCAATTTTCCATCATTCATCTTATCACTTATCAGACATTTTTTAAGCAACGTATCTTCTTACCACGACGGTGGATCGATTGGCTCATACATATACATAAGTTCCCGCTGGAATAATCGTATCGTTTTTCATTCAGAAATACCATTAATCGGCCGTTAACTAAGAATAACGCTTAACAATTTTTATGTTAAGAAATTCGCTGTTTTTCCAGATGAAAGATTGTAAAAACATTTCAATCAATAGCCAAATTATCACTCGCAAATTGTATTTTTACGAGAGAACGGTGAGCGATTTTACTTAGAAATTTTACTCGTTTTTTCCCTGATTACACGCAAACATCCAGCAAAATATTGGCTACAGCAAGGTTGCACAGTCAGACTCCTGCAAATAATTTGTCTCCTTGGGATTTTATGATCAATTTTGCAACCTTAAAATGCATTACGTTCTTCATTGTAGAAAACGATGCGTTATTCTCCGTGTATCAAGTTTTCAGTTGAAAAGTAATCACCATTCTTGCTGGAAATTTTTTTGCAAGGCTACAGTGTGAAATTTATACACATGCAGTGTAGCAAAATTTTAAACTCTTACTTATATCGAAAAATACAATTATTATCATTTTAGAGAGAGTTTACATACGGTATTCAAGTTACGTTCATCCAACATCGTTACGAATATGTTCAGAATCTCCCGAATTATTATAATTTAGATGCTGAAGTACCTAACTGCTGAAAAGGTGAATTCAGCAAGTCGGGAGTTCTCTGCACTTTTTCAACTTTCAGGATGTTAAATCAACAGAAAAAATTCCACATACAATTACATGGACAGAGGTACGTTTGTCTATTTTCATTCTCGGCGTGTTTCTCTTGTGTACCCCTAAAGATATTTTGCTGGTGTGGGCTGTGGATGTCCTGACGGTGAATCTCCCATCATTCCAAATGATTCATGAATTCTTTAGTTCACTGAAATTATTATTTGCTCACAGTTAGCCAATCTCCATTTGAAAATGGCAAGAGTGGAAAAATTGAGCTGATATTGCGTTAAATTTTGCTTTAGTGAAAATAAATGTTTGCTGTACTAAATTTTGCTTTAGTAAAAGTTCGCAAAAGGCCCATTGATTCTATGCACATTGAGTCCAATACAATAAATTGTGTACAACTTTATATATTTTATCTACTTTGTGATCGTTTTTTTCTCGCTCAGCTGTATAGCGTGAATCTGAGGTCACCCCTCGACTTATTTCCTAAACCGAAAAATTACTTTGAACTTTGGCCTGGTGATCAAAAGCCAACATTCGACCAGTGGACTTGGGTATCTCTCCGTACGAGGGTCGATGGACCATTCATGGTAAATTCTAAATTCTTGACCATTTCATTTTCTTTAAATTGGACTGCATTTTGCAATTTGGACCTATAAATTCTGGCTCATCTGAAAAAACACTTATGTGCATAGGGAAACTAATGGCACATACGTTGTTTTTAAACCGGGCCGGAATTTATAGGTCCAAATTGCTAAATGCAGTCCAATTAAAGGTGACCCTACAGCGCTTTGGAGAACGATTTGATTTTCGAGCAATCTTTTAATAATCTTTAGATTTTAAAACGCGTCTTTCAAGCAGGTCCTCAAATTAACATCACATCAGTCTGAAATGCGGCAGCTCTCTGCAGGCAAGATTTGACCGCGAAGTACTTCTAAATACCTTTCAATCTTCGCCGCAAATGCATTTTTCATGATGACTCCTTTCCTGGAGTATGGTGCACGCTAAATTTTTCGTTCTTTACTTCATTTTCACCATTGATACACGAGAAAAAGTAAGCGTATCAAAATGCAAAACGATTTCGATTATAAATGAGGGGAGTAAAATAATTTTCTTTCCCCCTTTCCCTCTAGGTATTGACACATTTTCAAGGAACTTTCCATATTCTGAGTAAAATGACCTTTAAGAAGCACGCTTAAGAATTCGGTTGAACATTGGATCTATCGAGAACATTTTAAAATGATTTCTCAGGGAACTCTCTTTGTGTACTTATTCAGGTAATTAAGTCCTTTAACTGGTTCATTAACATTATTTTAAAACATTTCAAGGGACCAAAAGCTTTACAGCAAATGTTTGAAGAGGTTCCTGACGTTTTTTTTTTTTTTTTTTTTTTTTTTTTTTTTTTTTCCACGTAATTTTACCGAAATCCACGCAAAGAAAAGACCTCCCGATAAAGGTTTTTTCAAACATTTTCAATAGTTTTTTCGAGTCGTCATTTCAAAATTTTTGAGTTTCTTAAAAATGTTTTACCAGTCGCGCAGTGGATCAAGTCAATGTGAGAGGTCGTACAAAATTTGGGAACTTTAAAAGCTCATAACTTTGTTTATACAAGACCTTGAGGTCTTAAAAGTGGCTCCATCGATTCCCTCGTGAAATTTTCTTTGGGAAACGCCCCTAAATATTTTAAATGTGACGAATTAAACGTTAAAATTTGCAACTGTAATAAAAACAATTTATGTCCGACCTCTCTGATTGACGCGATCCAAAGTGAGTTGTTGCCAAAAGAGTCGCCTCGGATGCTCAAATGGACGCATTTCTGTCAAACAGAACTATGCGCATCATGACGTGAGCCCTTTTATGCATGTATTCTTATGGGTCTCAGGGTTCATGTCTTAATGCACATAGGTCCGTTTGATAGAAATACGACCAAATCAGCCATAGAGTACATAGAGTCGTAATGTAAGTGGGTGAGCTGGCGCCACTTTTAAGCATTTTCCAGGTCCCGAATTCTGAGACTCCTGTGTGACGCCGGGTCACTTTTTCGATACATAATCGATCGTTTGCGATACACGGGTACCCGGCCATCCGATGTAAACAAAGAAGATAGGAATCACCACGTATTCCACACCGCCATTTTGGATCGAACATGTATCGAAAAAGTGACCCGAACTCGGCGCACACCGGGCTCGGAACTCGTCGAGCAGAACATGGCGCCAGCTCTCCCATTTACACTACGACTCTATGTACTCTATGAAATCAGCAAAAACAATTCCTTGAACGAGTACAGGATATCCTGTTGAACCATTTCCACTATCGCCGTTTTCAGGCTGAGTTTCAAATGTTTCAGCTCGAGTTCAGATCAAATTTCTTCGGCAGAAACAACCAAGGCTCAGCAAGAATTGCCAGATTGGAAGTGAGGTACGTGCCATGCACAAATCCAACGAACGCAAATGCCCGGTTTTATTACAACGACGGATCACAAAGACTTCACTCACATGGTCCATCTGCATCCCTTAAGGATTTCCCTAGAAACCCCTCACTAGGGTCCTATAGGGACTTCCTCGGAGTCCCCTCGTTGGAGTCCTTGCCGCCATCGGAATCAGCATCGCCCTCACGAATACCGTATTCACGAATGTCGTCTCGACCGTCGTCCTTCAGATATCAAGATCAACCCCTAGATTAATCCCCTGGATGACCCTTCAAAGATTAAGTAGAAAGCCTGAAGAAACTCCTCAATTTTTTTTTTTAAGTATACTTTATTGTTAGCTTCCAACAGGGAAATATAAACAATTTGCTTAAATTACGAGGTAATTTTATAACAAAGCAACGACATGCTCATCGCTTATTAACATAAGATTAAGGAGAAAAAATAATAATTTTCTACATAGTAGAACAATTATATTAGCTTGAAAAATAGAAAAGAACATCCAGTAGATAAATTTAAGATTAAGGATGATTAATTTAAGGTAGAAATAAGTTATGCAAGTTTTTTAAAAATCGGAATCAGCGTTAGTGACAAGCTCCCAAGGCTTTTCCCTCTTAAGTCTCCTTATTTCTTCAATATTATTTAAAAGTTCAATAGCTGTTTCGTTTGGAATACGATGTATCCTGTCTTCGTATCTTTGCGAAATTTTTTGAATATATTACTCAATTTCCTTAATATTTTAGACCGCATCGATTGCAATGATTTTAAACTAGTTTTGGGGACACATCCCCAAATTTGGCAACCATAAGCCCAAGTGGGTCTTATAATTTGCTTGTATAATAATAACTCATTATCTAATGACAGGGAGGACTTTTTACTGAAACTCCTCAATAAGATACAAAAATTGTTACATTTATAAGAGCCTTCACAGTAAGGAAGATAAAACAAAATCTTGTGTTAGTATGTTTCAACGATCCTGGGTGTTTCCCTGGACATTTTGAAAGCACTTAGTGCGACACAAAATAAAGGGGAAAAAAATCTTCAGAGTGAGATCACCAAAACTTGAGTTGAAAATATACAAACTTGTTACATTTATAAGAGCATACACAGGAAGAAAGAGTAACCAAAATATTACGTTAATATGTTTCTACGAATCTGAGCGTTCCCTCGGAAATTTTAAGACCCACCTAGAGCGATACACGCACACACCCAAAAAAAAAGAGAAAAATAGGAAGTAACACACGAAGTAACTGAAGCTATTGGTTGATTTTTATGTACTTGGATTTCCCGTGTCAAATCTACTAAATCTTTGGGTTGTGGTGACCAAAATTTTGTGTTGAAAATCTGTAACCTCGTTAAAATTATTATTCGCCAGCCTCCAGGATAGCATCGTTGGAAATCCAAAACGCTAGCCACTCGCAAGTCGCGAGCACTGAAAAAGGGTAGGAAAACAAGAAAACATATTTTCGGCAGGACACTTTCTCCGTGATTCAATATCTCAGAGAAGCCTACGGTTTGGATCGGTTTAACACAAAAGCAACCAGGTGTAGGTGGACGTGACACAATAAAAAAAAACACAAAGTAACACAGAGTGACATCAAGCACGGACATTTTTATCTGTGTATTTCCACTGTGTGTGTTCTTACCAAGTGTAGGTGAACGTGACACAATAAAAGAAACACAAAGTAATAACACAGAGTGACATCAAGCACGGACATTTTTATTCGTGTATTTCTACCGTTTTTCAATCACCAAATTTTTTGCTGCCCAAACGGCGTGTTCTTAGTCGTTCCACAATCGGTTTTTTTGGGCCGTTCAAATAAATAATTTAGTGGGGGCTGGACTTGCTTTATGAGGTCTTACAAGGGAGAGGGGGTCAAGCACAGTCTTTCGTAAGCCTTACTCATTTTTTAAAAAGAAGTCTGATTTCCGATAAAATATTTATTTTTAAGTATTCTCCAGGCTATTTAAGGTTATTTTCTGACTAATGGGAGGGGGATGGAGCCAAGCCAGAGAGAGGCCTTCAACAGAGGACCATAATGGATAATTTTATGGAAAGAACTTTGAAAATTTAAATTTGAGTAATGGATCCTACCGAGAAAATTTAATGGTTTGCCGTCATAAAAATAAAGACATGTCACAAAAATTGCAGTTTTGAGATAGCCAGTGCTGTGTAAGTAATTTAGTCGCAACTTAGACTTACTTGGAAAGTTTTTTATTGGTTACATTAAGTAAAAGCTTACCGGCTATCGCCATTGCCAGAACTTCAGCAGAAAAAATAATTGATACTTTACATTTGAACTATACCGTAGTAACTTCAGAAATAAAGAGAATAGGGACTATTGCAGCTATTGCAGCTTTTGCAAATTTTTCAGTTCCGCTCAACCCACCTCGAGCTTGACGAAATTGAAGCGTTTTTTTATTTTATTTTTCGCAGTGGCACATAATTATATTTTTCCTAGCTTGGTTGGCTATTTTAAATTTTTTTAATACTTCTATCAGTCTTCTATCGTTGGAATTATGTAAAATTTTCAAACTACTGTTATTGATAGTATGGTTGGAATCACCTACATGTTTGTATACATTAGAACAACTTCTTTTAAGTGTTCTTAAAGATATTTTTGGAGTTAGTTAGAGTAAGCTGTATCTTAGTTGTAAAGGGAGGAGGGAGGGCTTTTTGACCATTTATAATGTTTGTATGACTGTGCCTTTATGAATAAAATTTATACATTTTATTTTTTGCGGTTTATTTGGCTTCTATCCCTGTTTATTTAGTAATTTAGGAATCTACAGTCATCTGTAGACATGAGTTTTAACATGAATTTTATTTTATTGTCAGTAGACATCAGGAGGATTTTGGCACATTCATGCTCCGGCTTTCAAATTTTCAGGGATTAAGGTCGAGTATGATCTGTTTCTGCAGATCCACTCGTCAGTTCCGTGAAAATTGGTCGCCAATACCGAGACCTATTGGTCTAGGGTCAGACGCGCTGACCACTAGGACCTGGCCGGCTAAGTTTTTCAATGCTTGTTCACAGTCGAGATATTGCAAATTGGCAACACGGGGTCTTGCCCATTGGAACGCATCTAAAACAGTTTATCTACATTGAATCGAGATGTTTACCCTAGAGTAAATTATTTAAAATGGATTCAAATGGAACATATGAAACAAATTGCAAACTTGAGGAAAATATAATGAGAAATAACTAGGATGAAGGCCGGCGAGCGCTCCCTGAGAAAACAGTAAAATGTACACAGGGTGTCCCAAAAGTGGGTCTACCCTCTCTAAAACTGTACTTAATTCATATTTTGAAACGAAACTTTAAAGATGTTTATAAATCAATGTAAGTTCTTTTTTGGGCTCCGAAAGTAGCTGGCACTGATCCATGATCATCCCTTAAGTTCCGTTTCAAATTACAAATCAGGTAAAATTTTAGAGGGGGTCGACCCGACTTTTTGGACCTGCCTCTGTTCCTTTTTTTCCCTTTTTTATTGGAAAAGTTAGTTTTCCGTAGTACGACTGCATTTTAAAGGTGGCTTCTCTGCAGACACCTTGAGAAAGAAGCGTCCCCTCAGGAAAAGGAGTGAATTAAAATATATGTATTACACTACCATATCGATGGTGAAAGTGCAGATGTGCGTATCTCGGAAAACACAATTTTCCGGGAGAGTAAAAAAAAAAACTATCTACGTTCCTCTTTATTGTTCGTAGGAGGGTAATAATTCTTGAGGCTAGCAAGAATAAGATGATTTTTCAGACTCCATCAGCATTTTAAATAATTTATCGGGCTGTTAGAAAATACGGCAGAAATGACGAGATTAGCGTTTTCGGCACTAAGAATTGACACTTCATCACGAGATACGTATTTTTGCGATTAGTGTTTTAAAACTGCTGTTGGCGGATTTGGATCATTTGGACTGCATTTTGCAATATGGAACTATGAATTCTAGCCCGGTTTAAAAACAACGTATGTGCCATTAGTTTCCCTATGCGCATAAGTGTTTTAACAGATGAGCCAGAATTTATAGTTCCAAATTGCAAAATGCAGTCCATTTAAAGACTGAAAAAAGAGTTTCACGCTAACAATTTATTTCTTATCACGTAAGGTTCAGTTTGATCTCATATGGCAAGATCAAGCATTGTATGATTGGAAAATGACATTTGATCACGAGGTATACCTACGCATTTCTGCAATTATTAGCGTTTTGAACCTGGTTTTGATCATTAATATTAAAAATAGAGTTTATTCATATTTAAAACTTGTTAAGAAGCTTTAGTTGATCCAATACCGTGAGTCATCAATCTGTGAATTAGAGAATTTGCTTCCTTGAGTAACCACACCATTGGTACCATAGGTAGGTAATAACAAGACAGTGCGGAGTCTCTAGAATATATCGTCTCTGCTTGGACCCTCAAAAAATTATATATACGTAATACTTTTTTCCCCATTTTTCTTCCAAAATTTTGGCATATTTACCGTTAGAAACCTACAACCATCTATATGTATTCGTTATATACAGTGCCCGTAGAAACTCGGAGGACATCCATGCTCCATCCATCCAAGCTTTTTGCCTTTCAAATGGACCAGTGGACAAAGTACCTTTTCTTCAATTTTGATTATTCGAGGTTCATCGACGGAGGCTGATTTTATCTGTGCGAAACTTATTGAATTCACAACCGCTTTTAAATAAGTTGCGATCTTGTAAACGGCGACTCTCTCACGCAGTTTTACATGAGAATACGATGACCAAACCAAGAAGACTTAATAAAAACTACAATCTGAAGCAAGCGTTTTGGCTCTCTTTTTTGAAATAAGACTTACAGACGGAAAAAATCTTATTATTAAATAATCAAAATAATAGTCTTCGGGCATATTTCAAAATTACGGCTCGATTGAAGACTCCAAAATTATGAACATTTTTGGTCAACATCAATGCACAAGGCCACTCACATAGAATACAGAAGAGCGCCTTCAACCCACTCCGTAATCTTAATGCTAAATTCTGATACCACTATTCGTGCGTCATGACAGTCAATTTGCATAGTCAGCTAATTGAAGGCGAATCATTGGCCCAGGCAACAAGGTACAGATTTCAGCAATGTGTTACTTAACTTTTAGGGAGCCAAACCTCCGGGGGTGCCCCACCTGGCATCCAATGGACCACTAAACAAGGTACAAAATGAGGCATTCTGATACATGTTTCTCAACTAAAATTTCACGTAGAACACGATTCAAGGAACGAAAATTACTGAAACTAACTCGTAACCAAGATATTCCATGTTTCTTGACGCGTGAATTCTAACTTCTCGCTCATGAAAACTCAGTAATCTGCGTGAGTCAAATCGCACACTAAACGTTACCGCGGCAGTCTCTGCGATACAAAAATTTCGTATAGCCTCAATTATGACGCTTTGGCTCAGCTGTAGTAAATTGTTTACACTTTGAACAGTAAAGAGTGGGAAAGGAACAATGTTCGATCGAGAAGCCTGCTGAAACCCTTGTAAGGCGCGATTTGACTCACGAAAAGTTTTGTGATTCTTCTGACCGGGCAACTCAATAATCCCGTAACTAATGTAGAACGGACACGTTACCTGTTCATTTAGGAGTTGATTTCAGTAATTATTGATGCAAGAATCGTGTTCTACGTGAAGTTTTACTTATGAAACATGTATCAGAGTGCTCAAATACGTACTTTCTGTAGTGGTCCATTACCAAACCAAAAGTTCTCCGGATGGCCCCGCTCTGCTCAAAACTCATAAAGGCGCCGAGAGACAACTATTTCGACTCTCATGTATTGTGGTGAAGTATCACAGTATTTGAAGGCTTTTTGAATCTGGCATATCTTCAATCGCAGATGTTTTGGCTTGTGGTTTTCGGACATAGGTAATCTCGACTTGCGAGAGTAATGAGTTTCTTGTGACCGGGCAAGTCAAATATCCCGTGATCAATGTACAATAAAAACGTTAGTATCTTAGTTAGGAGTTAATTTGAGTAATTTTCGACGAGAGAATAATTTTTTCGTGAAATTCTGCTTCAAAAACATGTAACAGAGTGCTTGAATTCGTACCTTGTCTAGTGGTCCATTCGTCCAGCCTCCGGGGGTGCTCCACCTGGCATCCAAGAAGTCCAACCCCCAGGGGTGCCTCACTTGGCATCCACGGAGCCCAACCCACGGGGGGCTGCCCTGCCCCGCCTGACATCCAAGGAACCCATCACTCTGGTTGCCCCTCCCGGGCACGCAAGAGATCCTACTCCCAGGGGCTGCCCCCCTTGGTATCCAAGGAACCAAACCCTCCTGGGGCTGCCCCATCAGCCCCCTTGATATCCAAGGAACCCAATCCTCCGGGGACTGCCCCACCGATTACGTAGCATGGTGTCAACGATTACGGTGTCAACAAACAGTTTTTCTAAGTTTTTGTTGACACCATGATCATTCAAAAATAAAAACTTCTGATTCTTAAGAAATATGATCACGGTGTCAACGATCACGACGTCAACGAAACTTAAAACTTCCCTCCATAACATCTATCGAATTTCATGTCTTGTTTTTCTTGTGTTATTTACTCTAACCTAACCTAACCTAACCTAACCTAACCTAACCTTACCCAATTTTACCTTACAAGACCTAACCTAACCCACTTTCACGGAACTTAACTTTCTCCTACCCTACCCTAACGTTACCTACCTAATGTAACCGTACATGTCCTGACCTAAACTAACCTAACTAATCTAACGATACGTGACCCAAACCTCTCCTGTGCACTTAATTTTACTCGTAAGGAAGATATTTTTCTGTTTGTTGACACCGTGATCGTTGACACCATGCTCAGGGCCCATTTTTGCGTTTTACTGCCTGAGCACGACGTCAACGATAGTTGACTCCTTCCCTGGCATCCAAGGAGCCCAACCCATCGGGGCTGCCTCACTTGGCATCCAAGGAGCCCAACCCATCGGGGCTGCCTCACTTGGCATCAAAGCAACCCAACCGTCGGAGTGCCCCCCCTGACATCCAAGGAGCCCAACCCCCCGGGGGCTGCCCCACCTGACATCCAAGTGCTCCCCTAGGTGTCCAAGGGTCCCGTTCATGTCCGCTTCACTAGCAGTACCCGCTAGCAGGGCGCGGCTCATATCAGTCATGTTGGAATATGTATGCGCACTATTTGCCAATTGGGTCAATTAGTGAAATAACTAAGACGCTTAAAATTGAAGTATTTATAGCTATCGCATAAAGCAATCGGAATTTTGAAACAAAGAGTTACAATAGTTTAATGAAAGGGAACAGGCCGATGCGCGGAAATCCATTTGTTGGTTATAATATACGCCCAAATTAAAATTACCGGACCATTCCTCAGCTCAGGGACAGGGCCGGAATAAGGGGGTGGCCAATTTTGCAATCTTTGTTAATGTAGGTATCAGAAAAAAGAGAAAAAAGTCGGATTCAGAAAATAAATTACAATCGAGGGAAGGCATTCTCTCATTTTCTGAGAGTAATACTACGGTGATTTCTAAGTATGCCGTCTTTTGGTGATACAAGACTCTTTACTTATAGTCGAGTTAAGAGAGAAGCCAAACACGCAATTTGACCTGGAGCGGAGCGGTGCAGAGATCAATGATAACGAGGACTAAGATGAAAAGGAGAAGCCATCGGCGCGGCGGCGGCGATCGGCATGAAACGCATAGCGCCTACAAGACTGCATGAATACTTCACGCATTGCGTCCAACACACTGCGGTC